AATGTTAGAACAACACTTTCTGAAGGGAAGCAATACACTACCTACTTAAAACCTAAGCTGAAGCCTGGAAACTAATGGTGGGCATAAACTATGTTATGTAATACTCTTGGTATTTGAGGTGCTTCTTAATATAAAACTGAAGTCTATGAGTAAATACAATTTTATATTTAAGAATTTCTTTTAATATTCAAGAAAAGATATTTGTTCCAAAAACCTTTTGTTAGTAGATGCATCCAAATATATCTTTAGAGTTGACTATACAAGTAGATGATAATATTCGAGGGGCCAAATGATCTACCCAAATACACTAAGAAATTGTAACTGTTAAATCAAAAAATGTTTTTTTAATTGGAAGAATATCGGTATTTTACTTGTTCTTCAAAAACAGTGTTTTAAATATAAAAACAATAATACATCATTTATCTGTTAGAATAATGTATAATCTGACTACAGATTCCTATCTTACATTAAATTTCCAATTAGGAAACAACGTTGTTTAACATAGAAAATCAAAATGTTGGAAAAAGAAAACAAATTAAATAAAAATAAAAATTATGTGTTTTCAATTTCAATAAGGTTTTTTGTAGGCTTAACTTTCCTCCATCATCACTGGATATAAGGCTGCAGTTTCACCGATAGTTGTGCCAAGAAATTCTCTTCTGAAATTATACTTTTTCTTCAATTATTCAAATAGTTTATAAAAAAATAATAATATAAAATTTAAATAATTATAAGTACTCAGTTATAACTTATGTAAAACTAGGGAAAGAAGAAGAGGAGGAAGACCAAGATAGACCTGGGATAACGAAATGGAGGAATCCATGATGGGTCATCGTCTACAGGAAGAATGGACCTTAGATAGGACATAATGGAAAGAAGTCATCCAAGCTCTTTAGGTTAAGGAAACCAACTATTAGTGGAAATTCCTAATTAAAAAATAAAATAAAATAATAAGTATTCAGGACAGAATAAAGGGCATTAAACTACATGAAAATATATTTAACCTCTTAAAAAAATAAAATAAACTTTTTCAATTTAACAATACTGGGAGGAAGCTTTTAGAATACTTTCATTTTGAATTTTTGTCTTCAAACAGTTTATTAAATAATTATACTATGGAATAAAAAAACTTAAAGAAAAAATTTAAATAAACATTTTTTGGTTAAGTTAAAAATGTTTATTTAAATTTCTCCTCTCCAGCGAATGAAAACAAGAGTCTTAAATGAAATAATTTTCTATAAAAAGCTTTAAAAAATTAGAAAAATAGTTCAAACTGCCTACCATCTTGTAAGAGACACAGTTGACGTACGCTAAGAACCACTTCTTAAATTCTATAGAAAAACAAAAATCGATTTGCATTCAACCGACGGGGTATGACAAGTGGTAACATATAGCACCTGAAAATATCTGATAAATGCTGAAAATGGCAGTCTCTCACATTATGCAGATTATCAAGAACTCAGAAGTGATAATACCATAGAGTACATCAATCAATCAACAGGTCTCCGAATCAATCCAGTTCCTCTCGTAACCCAATAGACATTTTCTATCATTCATCGATTGAGAAATCTTTGACGGCTTGGGAATAGATTTGGATTAAAAAATATAATAAAAAATCCATGTTTTTCAAAATTAAAGTCACCATAATTCCACATGTGGTTAAACTTTGTTGATGAAAAAGTACAATTTCTGATGAGTATTCTTTTGTGCAACTATTGGTAAAGTTGGAGCTTTATATCGATTGTTGGCAGAAAGTTAGCAGAAAATGTTAATTTTAACATCATATTAAAAATGCAAATGAAATAGACTCAAATAATAATTATTATTAATACTATACTAATATTAATAATATTATAATTATACTCAAATAATAATTATTTAATAAAATAAAGGAATGAGATATTTCAGCTATCAAAATATCAGTTGCCGATTCTGATATTTATGCATTATGTATTTTTTAGCTGACCATAGTTTTTTTAACTATTAACATAGTAAATTAAAGAAAATCAACCTCTGAAATTTTTCTACTGTGGTATAAATACCATGTTAGGAACAGTAAAGATAAATGAAACCTTATAAATGAAGTTAGATGGCTTCACCTCACCTGTATACTGTTATTAATATTTTAACTACATGATGGACCAGTAATTATTATAGTACATGAACTTTTTTTCAATTTACCAGTGTAAAATTAATTCTTTTTTTTTCATTTTTCTTTATCCTCATTAAATATTTTCTTTTAAATTATTTACAAGAAGTAATAAATATGATGCATTATTACAAATTTCAGCATAATTTTTCAGACTTCTTAACAGTAACCGAAAAGTACCGATATCTTATGATTAGTAAACCGAATCCTTTTTAGTAATAGTATAATATCTTCAGTTGAATAAACCAATTCAAAATTGATTTAAATTGAAAATATATGATTTGTCAAATTCAAGTTATATTTATTTGAGTTTTGGCAGAACAATGAATAGGAATTAAAATTATTTCACAAGATACAGTTCCAACAATAATTAAAAAGAGTCAATCATGCTATAAGCATAGACCAAATATGACATTATTCTGTAGTGTAATAATAATTTGTGTGTAATATAAAAATAAGAAAGATAGCTGGACAACTCTTTAGAAAAAAAAAAACAAGAAAACAAAACATGTCATCGAAAAAAATAACAACCTCAACTGTTATAAGCCTTCTATTAATATCATTTACAATTATTTTTAGCTAATAAAAATAATGTATCTGAAATCATCAAAATTTTGTTGCTATAAATTATTTTATTACAAGTTAAAGCTTAGTTTATCTTTTCTATTCCAAACAATCAACACCTGATACCCTTTCTACATCTACATTCACCTACAGTTCAAACCCGTGATCCACTCCCAGAAAACAAGATACGGTGTTTCCGACCTTTATATCCCTTCCCATAGAATTAAGACATTTGAATATTCCTTTATTGCCTGATCTACTGCCTTCTGGAATTCCTTGCCATCTGATATCTGCCATGCCTGTTCCTTGTCATGCCTTATTCAAAAATCATCTCTACCAATTCCTTCTCACATCCCAAAATGATGTTGTACAATGAAATAAATATTATGAATCAAATTTTGACTGAGATGAATGGTTGCTGAACTTGTTTGAGTTTTAATTTTAAGAATCAACCCATACTGCTTATAACATTTTGTTTTTTTCAAAATGGTATTTTTTATTTAATATAATTTTACGAAGATATTGTGTATATTATTGATTAACTTAATTTTTGGCCAGATGTGGTTTTTATTTTTTGTTCGTAATTGTTATTCTTAAGGGACCTAATCCCAGAATAAAATTTATTTTCTGTTCTATTCTTTTTTTTAAAAAAAAAAATTTTTGTATATTGGGGTGTACGGATATTTCATTTGTAAGCTTCTCCAAATTAATTGAAATTAGTTTGATATGTGTCAGGATTTGGGCTCAAGGGCAAAAAAAACAAAAAAAAAAAACAAATTTGAACTCTAAAAATAAGAGAGGTTGTTTTTTGCCAATAACACACTGTAAGCAGATCATTTATTTTCATTCATAGAAGTGATTGTTTATATAGCAGTACATCAAAAATTAATTAATACTCAATGAGTATTATTAAATGAAAAGAGCTTCTTACTACGATTAACTCTCGTTTGGACATATCTAATCTGTGAGATGATGTACCTAGTTTGCTGAAAATAAAAAACGGTCACAATTGTTTCCTAAATTTCTACAGTTCGTACTTAGGATTCAAGTTATCCAAACCCACTGTTTATTTGAGTGGACGACATTTTTATCTACTGGATGAGAAGCAGCCATTTATGAAAGTATTTTTGATTTTAAGTTAAAGTAGAAACAAGAATACCAGTAATCATATTAGAATTCAATGCTACCAAATCCGACTGACTGAGGGTTGAAAGATAAATGATTAAGAGATTTAATTAATAGACTTTATCTTCCTAAATGACAGATGGTGAGAAAATTTTGGCAATTTGGCCCCAATGCATCAGTGAACCACTCAAAATGTGTTATAATATGGCTAAACTGAACGTTTAGGATTTTAGATTTGTGTTGTACTAGGTTTCTTGCCCATAGCTTTAGAAGAGGAAGCAGTTTATATTAATATAAACTATTGGTTTCCCTAATCAAAAAATAACAATTTAATGGTTACAAACATATTTACATAACCAAGAAAAAAAAAATGGAAAAATGCTTGCCACAGTAACTCATGTCATTAGAACACACTAATCAATTGAAAACATTTTCTCGATAATGATATAAAGAGTAATAAAAAAAAAGTAGTTAAACATAGCAGTAAGCTTATAGTTCTCCACACAACTAATTTGATATGAGTGCCTTCAAAACTGTTAACCATCAGATGTTTCGAAAATAAAATCACAATATTCATCATCATATCTTGAAATATGCTGGAAAAACTCTTATTCAATTTTCAGAAGTCAGTGTGAAGAAGTGAATAGTTTGATGGAAACCAATGGATGGTAAGTGGGATAATGAAGTATTTTGTATGAAAATTTTATACGATGTATTTCTATATCATTAGATCATTTTTTAGTGTATTTTTTATTAAGGTAAATCAAAATTAAGTAATTTAAATAGAAACTCACACTTCTAATCCCAATACTTTCCTCTCTTTGTTGTTGCCGAGGGAAAGATCCAATGTTTCAAAATATTTTTATTTCACTATGCGGCCCAAACTTTAAGGATGCTCAGATTCAAGACGGTGAATTATTTATCTTTACAAAGAGGATCCACCTCTATTCTATATTTTATCATGATTTTTAAACTCTTTTTTAAAAAAATTAATAAGAGTGAACAACATAAATGACCTTAATTTTCAGCGTAGTCAAATTCAAGACCTTCCAAGATTCTACTTTATAGAATGATCATTGAATGTAATTATATTTGGAACCATAGAAAGGTCTGAACTGTTGTAATATTTTGTGATACACATGAGAATTACACAATATCTTACCTGGAGTTGTGTAAAATGGTGGTGAAACTTTTTCTTCCACGGACCATTTTTTATTGTCTGAAAAAAAGAATAACAGTGGTAAATGTCTTAATTGAAAGTTGTTGGTACTTTTTAAAAAATAATAATTTGAAATGATTTATAAATTTGAACCATAGTAATTAAGAATGAATAATAAACACATTTTGATCTGTCCTAAAATTATCAATTATATTTCAAATATATTATACATTAAATTTGAATAAATTCTAAACATTTCCCTCCCCTCCACCCACCTTTTAAGATTGAAAAATATTTGCAAGTATGGAATCTAAAAACTACTGTTGATTTTCAGTTGAATAGAGAAACATTTGAATTGTAAATAAGTATATTTTTATTTAAATGGTTATCAAATTACAGTTAATACTTAATGAATAGTTTTAAAAATAAGTTTTGTGTATTCAATGTAAATTATTGTTATGTTTGCACGTTAGGTAAGATCATTAATGATAATATAAGTTATTTTTTATTAATTGTGTTTTTAAAAAGTGATAATTGTGTTTTACAAATAAAAATGATGAAATCATGAAAATTGGTGATTGAGAATGTAATTTAAGTAAAAAAAAAGTAGTTAATTGGATATGATAATGAATGGAAGGTTCATTGCGATATATGAAAAATTTGTATACATTTTTTCAGAGATTGCTGAAGATGGTTAATCTCTGAAACATTGAAATGCATACCATTTGAAATAAAGTTAATAAAAATAGTAGGATGGAAGATAAAAAAAAAAAAAATTGCTGTTTTTCATGATTATTGGAGTGCCATCCAAACTATAAAATATATAACTATATAAAAAATATATATAAACAATTATTTAATTATTAAGAAAAATATTTGCGTGAATCAGCCTAATTGTTAATATTATTATAATTATTCAACTTTTTTCAATAAGAATGAATTAAGATAATATCAATTGAAGAAATCTTTCACAAAAACCAAATCTCACAAACTTGATTTGGAGGAGGTTCAAATTTTTAAATGTATTTATGTATATAAATATGTTTTGTTTATTACAATAATTTTTTATACAAAACATATTTCTGGATGTAGTTTTTTTTTTCTTTCTCATTTTAGTACTATTTAAATTTCAAAAGATAAGGGGAAAATATAAGATATAGGAAATCAACTAATATTATAAAAAAGTAAATAATATTTAAAACAAAATGTTCCAAGTACAATTAATCTCACCTGCAATATTTAGTAATATATATTTTGATTAGCCTATCATGAAAAAGGTTGTGCCTACATTTCTCTCTAGTCTCATATAATATTAGGTTTTTAATTAATCCTAAATTACACCATTTTCTTTTGAATATTTTGTAAAAATAAGTAGCAAAAGGTATTAAAATGAAATATCTTGAATATATAATTATTTTTATGGTATGATATATCTAGAAAGCTCTACCAGTGAAATAAACAAAATTAAAAATATATAGTTAGATTTCAAATGATATTTAGTAAAGAAAGAAAAAGATAAGATACCATTTTGTTACAGTTCATGAGACTACTATAATTGAGATGGCATCTGGAAAAAAGGTGATGACAGTTAAAAACCCTCTTTTTGAATCATAATTTATAAATATGGTAGATCTGTTTGAATAAGTGAATGTTTCTTGTCCTCTTTTCATAGGGAAATTCAATGGTGGTTAAATTTAGATTTTCTTTTATGTTGTGTTCCTTTTTAAAAAGAAAAATATTGGTAAATTGATAGTCAACCCAATCTTCAGAACTTGAGGTTACACTTCCAACAGTTTGTGTTGAGGTTTCATAATCTATATCTCGGTCATTTACGAAGATTGGAGAAAAATAAGAAGTATTTTTAATATGATATTTCAAAGCCTAAAAATAAAATTAAAATATTTTTAAAAAATTTCAATTCAGATAATTTTTCAATTTTTTTTATAATGATTGTTAAACACTTTTTTATTGTTTGCAGGAGTAACTATACCGAATAAACCATTGTGTATTAATTTGCAACATTTTTTTTCCATTAAACTTTTTGAAATATTTTCTAATTTGTATGTCCTATAAACTACTTTAGTCCTTACTTAACGATATATAACTGACTTTTAACCACAATTCTAGTGTTAGTTTTATCCCGTGATGAGCTTATTAAAAAAATTATTAAATCTTCAAAACAAAACTTCATATAATAATTCCCATGAACATGGTTTCGGGAAAATGTCTTTTTTTTCCAGCTACTGTGTCAGTTAGTAATTACTTGAAAAAAAAAAAAGTATTTTCACTGTTTCACTAAAATAAAAATTTGAGAAATAAAAACTTGTTTCACTATGTCAACATCAATTGGAAAATATACAGACAGAGATATATATACAGCACTAATAAAAGTAGAAAAATTAAAGTAGAAAACTTAATTGCTTTATTTAAGAAAATATGCATTAAAATTAATTACTAAAGATATTTCAATGTTAAGTTTAGTAATGTACAATCATGTCACACTTAAAAGAATTTTACATGAAAAAAAAAATAAATAATTTCACATCAACTTAACTATGCAAAGCAGCGTTGTATATAATATATATTGTATGGCATACAATATTTGTATGCCAAACCAATGAATTAACTTGTGTGGACGATATATTAATTTTATTAGTCAATTTTTGTTTTTCTCTCCATAGTTTTGTTCTTTTATTAAAATTTCCTTTTATTCAAATAATAATAATATATAGGTAAGTGAAAATAAAAATACTTGTCTGTAAAAAAAAAGAAAATAAAATAATTTCTAAATGTGGTAAGGCAAATAAGTCTAATAATTTCATCATTTTTAAGTTGTACATTTCACTTTTGTGTTATTTTACTGAATTTTTAAACAATATAATATTTTAGATTTTAGGAAAGTGTTAGACTCCATTAACTGTGAGCTGCTTTGGATAAAGTTGTTTGATTTTGGTATCAGTAGGAAGATAATGAGACTTCTTAAAGCCTTGTACGATACAGCAACAATGGGAATAAAAATTAGGAATGCGATATCAGACAAAATAAAAATCAGTTCAGGACTATTATATTTATCTCAGACATTATATCTTACTTTGAAAATAGTGGTGCATCTAGTTTACCTATAGATGGCAAAAATGAAGTTCTAATGCTTGTACATTGTAATGTTAAGTAACTCATGGCATAGCACACAAAAGAAACTTCAGATCCTAGAACGGTATTGAGCACAAAATTCACTGGTCTTAAAACCCGAAAAATAAAAAGTTCTGGTATGTCCTAATTCACCATGAATAAAAAAATTAAAGTCAATGTTTTGGTAAAATAAACCCCTGGGAATTTTATAACTACCTAGGAGTACCATTTTCAACTTCAGCAAAATTTTCTAAGGCTGCTGAAAACTTTGTTCAAAGATCAAATGTTGCAGAAGCAAAAGTATGTGAGTTTATAACGAGAAGAAAAAGCGATGCATGGGAAACCAAAATGGCTCTCTTAAATTCAATGGTCTTCTCAACTCGTCTTTATACATCAGAAATTTGGGGCTTAAGATATTTTGAATCAATCGAATTAGATCAAGTGAAATTTCTTAAGCAATTATATTTTTGGCCTATATCAGCTCCTAATTATACAGTACGATTGGGAACCACACGTTCTCCCATTCTAATGGAAGCTTTGAAGAAAACTATAAATTTTTGCATAAAAATATCTTCATTGCCAGACCATTGACTTCCGGAAAAGTGTTTGCAAAAGCTTGTGCCTATGAACACTAGGCAACCTAATCTCAAATTCAACTGGATTTCACAAGTTAAAAAGTTAGCCGCTTCTAATTTCGTTCAAGAGTACTTCAACGACTAATAACTTGTAAAGACATTGAATGCGCCTTTAACTCCAACTGTAGTCACATCTATACGTGAATCTGTAGTTATAACTATAATAGTGAATCTGTAGTTATAATAATTACCCAGAACCGCAAAACTACTTCAAATTTATTGCGAACAGTGGGCCCTCTGAGAGTTTCGACGAATGATTGTCTGGCGCTGTATCATGGGAATGTCACTCATGTTTTAAGGGCTGAAGAAGTTTGTGTATGGTGTGGTCTGGTCACCTTATTACTAATGGCATAAAGCATTTGATCCTTGAATGTTCATTTGTTGAGATTCATAGAAAGAGATATCTCGATAAATATATCAATGCTGGCATGATTGGAGAGAGAGTTTTAGATATTAAAAGTCTTGAACACTTGAACAATGTATTTTACTTTATTATTCGTATGTTTGACTTCCACAGTTTACTCAATAACCTGTAACTTTAAATTTAATAATTATTCATGTGTTTTGTATCATTTTGTTACCCATTAGAACGGCAACAAATACATTGCATCATTGCAACTTAAAGAAGTTTATTTAAGTTTATGTATCAAGTTTTTATAAAATTTGTAAATTTTTTCTGTTTTAATTAAGTTTATTTTGTTAGTTAATCTACAGTGAAACTTAGTTTATATTGATCTGAACAATTTGTTTTATATTAATGTATTTATCTTTTTTTTATTATATTGTCCTCATTTATTATATCATCTCTTGTATTATACCTGTTATTTATAAACTAACTATAACTAACATTGATTGGACCAGACTCCATGGCTCAGCTGTTTATAAGCTAATAAATACATTATTATTATTATTATACAATAGATTGTATTGTTTTCCTCCTTTTGATATAATTCCCAACCATATATTATCAATTCATTGAGATTAATCTGTCACTATCACTGGTAACTGTTAATAATAACTAATGCATAAAAAAATGATAGTGTTTATTTATATTAGTCCTTGTTAAGTGAAACCGAATTTTAAAGGATGAAGATTATATTTATACAGAAAATATTAAATAGACACCAAGGTTACTAAAACTATCAATAAACAATAATAAAATCTTTTTGAAAATGACAAATCAACGTGATTATGATAGTGGGATGTAATGAAATAATCATTTGTTTCTATCAACATGATAATGGTGTATAATTTCAGATTATGTATATGATGGATTATGAAAATCAAAGTTTGGTTTTAATTGGATTGTAAAAGCCAAATTTTTGACTCAAAGTTATCATCAGGATTAGTCAAAATATCAGCTTTTTCATTAGAATACTAATGACTGAGACGTGGTAATTTATTTTATCACAGTTGATTATATAATATTAAAAAATGAATTATAATGTTAACAATATTTTTTATATATTTGATCTATATAAATAAAAAAATATTAATATATGATATTCAGTTTTAAAGCTGTAATAATAAATTTTTCATGTAAATATATACACCATTAATGACCTTCTATACCTTGAGCTTCTTTTGAGAAATCAGCTGGACTGGGTGGCGGAGTTTTGACGACCATAGGTGACAATATCTCTGAAAATAAAAATTATGTCATTGATATAATATTTCTTTATTTACTTTTTTATACTTTGCATAAATGTATATTGTGACCAATTATATTGAACACTTTCTTCTAATAGTTATCTATTATTGCATTGTTTTCAAACATCAATTCACTCAATAAAAAAAAATATATATCAAGTAAAACTTGGGATATTTTCTCAATTAGTGATACCTCTTTTTAATATTAATGTATTAATTCATCAATATTAAAAATTTATTCACACATTAACACTTCTCTTCCACTGGGAAACAACAATGAGCTACAAATCTACAGTATGAGTTACAATGAGTTAGATCTACATTAGGCTGAAATGCATTAACACCCATGTAAATCACACTGCCTATTGTAGTGAATTGATAACTATTCGTAATGATGTCAAACTATACCAAATAAATTTAAATAAAATTAGATAAAATGAATAAACTAACAATTAAATACATTGCATGATGAAGAAAAACAAACGCTCCTGAAAACATACCCAAATAATATTTCATTTGAATAACAATCATTAGAATGAATTATCGATTACAAACTACAAATATTACCATGATGTGGCTTCACAACTCCCTTTTCAATTCTATCCAGCCCCTGACTGACTTCCTCGAACAGTTCCGAGTCCCTTCTAAAATCTGATTGATATTTATCCTCAGTCATCTTTTCACTTTCTGTTTCCTAAAATATTATAATTTAAATTATAATGTATATTTTTTTTGAACCATTTAGTGAAGTTAAAGAGACTATCACATTTCACTAATAATTTCAAAAAGATTATTTTATGTCTTATTGTATTCAATATAATCATTTATTTCAAGAGTTGAAGAATGGATAATTATTTTTTAGAGATCCTGATCTTTTATTTTTACAATTATTAATTGTATACTAAGAATATACGCTAAAAATCTTGAGCTGTTAGTAACAGAAAATCAGGAAAAGAGGAAATTAAAAAATCATAAGTTTAATGATAATCAGCAATAAAATAAAGTATTCTTATGGACTAACAATAGGTCTGCATAAAATATCTTCCCTCTTGTATAATTTAAATATTTGATTATGTTTTAACATAGTAACAATAAAAAAAAAAATGAAAACACAGATATAAAAACTGCATTAAAAAAATGCAAAAAATCACTTTAATCGAGAAAATTGAACTAAAATATACTAAGGTAATGCGTTACAATATGTTCTCAATTCTTTAAAACATGTTGCGGTATTTGATCAAGATTATTTAAGAAGACTGTAAAATTGCATTTATTCTTAAAATGGCCTACTATGTATCTTAATATATTATAAATGTTTATCCTAAACACTTAATAAACACATCATATTATATAAAAATTAAAAATAAATTACGGAATAATAATTTTAAAATAATAAGAATAAAAAAAAAGTACACTAAAATTCATGAAAAATATTTTAGAAAAACATAAAGAACAAATAAATCAATAGTTCTCAAATACAATCCTAAAATCATATAATCAAAAAACTTTAAAAAAAAAATTATATTTCTATTTAACCAATAATATTTTAAAAATCCCCAACAGTGTGAACAACAAACACAATATAATACATAAAAAAAAAATTCTGTAGAAATTGTAAAAAATAGATATTAACTAAGTAATAAATATAAATAAACAGGAAAAATTGAATAACAGAAAACGAGAATAGTACAATATATATCATATATTGTATGATATAAGTATCATACACCCTCTTATTAGCAGAAATAAGTATTTTCAGACAAACGGGAAGTGAAAGTAAAAATTATTGACACTATATTTATTTACAATTCATTGTGGATATTTTTATATGTTTAAATATGCTTATATATAGAAATTTTAATTTTTATATCACTGTATTCTATACAATTAAATATTAAATAATACCAACGACAGCATTTATGAAAACCGCATACGTATATGAACATAATATTCATATCAGTCGGGTGATCTCGGGCAAGCTCGTATTCCTTTGATTCCTCTATTACAACTATTATCTGTTATGATCTCTTATTTCTCCTTTAGTTAATTATAAAATCTTTCATATTTTATATTTAACTATTTTTTATATCAAAGATTAATGTGAAATGGTTAATTATTCCAAATAAAAGAAAATAAAGGTACTTTAGAGGAAGCCAATATTGAAAATTAGCCATTTTAGCCCTGATAGAAAACTTCAATGAGAATAAAACCTGCATTATATTTAAAACTGCTTAATAATACACTGATATACTGAGTTTACCCAAAATCGTTAGAGCTATTTATGAGAAAAATCATAAAAATGTGTTAAATCGATTATTGCTGATTTCGACGAAAATGTTGCTGTAACATTGAAAGCTTATAAAAACCTTAAATATGCAATTTCACTTTCATACAACTTTTCGTTTTTGAGCTAGACTGATAACATACATACACACAGACCATTTTGCGGGACTTGGTTATTTGGAATCAGGAGACCTCAAAACATGTATATCCGTTGAAAACTCAGATTCGAAAATTTTCAATTTTCACTATACTTACCCTTACTATATATTGCACATATATGCATAATGAATATTAATATTATTATGTGAATATTGTTTATTTTAAAATTTACCTTAATTCTGTCAGAGGCAGGAAGTTTATCTCCAGGTTTTTTCATGGACAGGCCCTTTTCAAATGATCGCCTCTTCTCTTGGAAAGACAACTGCTCTTCCACAACAGATTCTGAAGCCTTTTCAACTTTATCATCTGCTTTTTGCTCTTCAGCAATAAATGTTTGGTTAACATCTGCTTGTGTCAGTGATATATTCTTTGGTGTAATACCTAACTCAAATGATTTCCTCTTTTCATCGAAGGAAAGATGTGCAGGTTCAGGAGATACAGCTTTTTCTTCAGCGGTTTCTTTTTCAGGCAAATCCTCTGAAGACTTCTTTTCTTTTTTTCTCATTACAGGTTTTGTTTCTTTCAAAACTACCTTCTTTTTCTCTTCTATTTCTTGTGACAGTCTTTTTTCAATTTCTTTTCTTCTTTCAGATACACTTTTTTTCATCTCCTCTTCTTCATCAGTTCCCTTTTCCTCTTTTGGCTTTTCTGCAACATTTTCTTCTTTTATTTTTTCTGTAATTATTTTTTCTTCTAACTTTTCTTCAATAACTTTTTCTTTTTCCGCTTTCTCTTCAACTTTGTACTTCTCTCCTTTAATTTTTTCTTCTTTTGTTTTCTCTCCTTTAATGTCATCTTCCTTATTTTTTACTTCCTTAATTTTTTCCTTAGTTTTTTCTTCTATCACTTGGTGTTCTATCAATTTATCTTTTGTTGTTTTTTCTTCTACAACTTTTTCTTCGGCAGTATATTTCTTTTCATCATCATCTTTTTCTAAGCCTAAAAAAAAAAAAAAAAAATATATAATTTACATTATGTAAAGAAGGTCTCGTGATCTTACCCAACACTATTGGGTAGTGTCACAACAAGGCTGTTCATGTTATTATTCTTGATTTGTTCATATTTAGAAGTTATATTTATTTAATAAAGTTGTGATGTCAATAAATAAAAAAAGACAATACATCATTTTACGATACAGTTTTGAATAAATTAAACTTTAAGTATTAAATTTCTTCATAAAAAAAAATCGCATACATAAATTTATAATTAGCAATGTACACTTTGTTTATGAAAGTTGGAAAGGATGAAGTTTAGATGGTACAAGAATCCATGCCCCCTATAGGTAAGAACTTCTAGTAATAATAATAAATCTTTTTAGTTTAGTTTACATAAAAAGTAAACAAATGTTTCCACTGATTTGTGAAGTGTTGAAATACTCCTGGAGAAAATACTCGTCCGAAATAATTTTTTATTGATTTTTTACAGAGTGAAAAGTAAAACAGAGAGTATTTTTTAGTTCAGTTTTTGACAAAAACTTCCCAATCTTATCAAATTCTATTCATTCCATCGAAGAAGATAGTACTTGATTAAGAAATTTATTCATGTGATTTATTTGACTTTTAAAATTTTAATACTATTAAGGTAACAGCTCAAAGTCTAAGTAACAGATCAGACCATGTTAAGCTAAATATGAAATAGTCTTGTTATTTTGCTCATACCTCCTTTTTTCAGTTCTTGGCTTTCGATTATCACAGTTGATTCCTGCAAAATAGGCAATAAAATTTACATTAAAAGTTATATATATATATATATATATATATATATATATATATATATATATATATATATATATATATATAAAAGGTTGGTGAATCTAATTTTCTTAAAACTAGTCATAGGAGTTTATTTTAAAATGTTAGAAAAAAAATGTGACACAATAAATCAATAAGTCGTAAAAATTCTTAAAATCTTTACTAATTTTGTTCTAAAATCATAATTTCTGAAATCTTCATTTTTATTCATCTTTCAAAGAATTTTACATTCAATTTATGATAGATGAATTATACTTGACCGTTTTTGAAGGTTATCTTGGATGAAAAATAGTTATGATTTTCAGTTATATTTTCTATGATGGATTACGACCCAAGATTACAATTTATTAACACGTTTAAAAATAAATCATAAATATAAAAGATAAGATATATTTATAGTTTACAGCATCTCAAGTTCCACTCCTTATTGGAACTCCTGTTATATTGGTGAAATAAAAATATTACCTTAAAAAAAGACCATTTACTAAAACAGAAATATAATATTTCTATCCAGAAATCATTCACCAGAAAATTATCAGAGTATGAGATATTCTTAAAACATTCCTAAGATTTTTAAAATCCTCTCCTTCTGTTTTTGCCATCATACTAAACCATGAAAAATGACTTTCTGAATCGACATTATAAATATCTCATGGTTCTCTTTAAAACTTTTTATGTCTATCTAGTCCTTAATTTTATTCCTAGTTTTTAGTCTTTAATATTTATTTATTTAATTTTTTAATATTTATTTATTTTTAATATTCATTTATTTAATTTTTATTAATATTTATCTATTTATTTAATTTTGTTTAATATTTATTTATTTAATTTTTTTAAATATTTATTCATTTTTTTTTATATTTATTTTTTTTTTCTTTCTTCCTTAAGAATTTTCTGTATTACTTCACTACAAGCTATATTTCTTTGTTTTTATTTCAGTTTTTATCTTTGTTATATCTACATTATTATCTTTTATATATCTATTAATATGTATTTCATTTTTTTTATTTTATTATATTGTAAATATGGTATGAATGTACCTTACAGCTTTAATACTTAATAATGTACCCTTAAGTGTGGTAAAATATATTATACCTCAATAAAAAGATTTATTTTCTCTCTCTAAAAAAATTTTTTAGTCTTACACTATTATTCTTATCCAGCCAAGTTATATAACGCCTTTATACCATATCTGTCTCTGAAAGTTTTGTATCCTATTATATATTCATAAACACCTTATTCATATACTAATATTTCATATCTTACTTATTATTTAATTTTATCATTTATATTATATATTTAATTTATTAAACTTTTATTTCGATATTAGGAATTTTAAGAACCATTATTAGGGGTTTTAAGAACCCTACCTACTGTTTTGAGTGTCATTGTCACTGAAGTTACATGGCCAGTTGTTTATCTTCTTTAATACTCATTTAAGTAAAGTCTTTTTTGTTATTAATTCTGGCCTTATAACATTATTGTAACTTATTACAATTGTTTTTATATTTCATTAAATTTATTTTTATCACCCCTTATTTTATCTTTAATTTATTTTTATTATTTATCTTTTTCTCTTTAAAACTTATTCACTTCTGTCTTTGTATTGCATACATACCTTATCTCTTATATTTCTGATTTAATTTTAGTCCTCATGATGACCAACAAACTTGAATCAAATCTTCCACACCCATAATAAAAAATATGATTGAAAATCCTTTCACAATTGGTTTGTGGATATGAATAATTTATGTATGAGTACTTAACAAATTAAAAAAAAAATCAATAATACCTTAAAACTTTTATCTATTGTAGCTCTCCTAAATATATTATGAGAAGTAGTATAAGATGGGCTAAGTTCTTCACTTAGAACTGCGGATTCGTCCGTATTGAACACAGCTTGTGGAAGAATGTCATCCCGACCTATCCTACGAAGGGCTTCTTCTAATTGTGTACCTGAAATATAATCAGAAAGGATATTAAATCTGATTTAGGTGCATTTCTGTTATAAATCATTAGCGATGGGTTATTTCATTCAAAGTAATAGAAAGACAAGATTTGAAATTAAAATAAATAATTATGTTTCAGTAGAAATCATCTATATATATATATATATATAAAAATGAATGTATGTTTGTCTGTCCGTCTGTTTGTTCTCAGTGCATTACTAAACCATTCAACCGATCGCCATGAAACTTTGGGAAGTTGTTCCGTACACTCCTGGGAAGGTTTCTGGCATAGTACTTCTGTCTTATAATAATTTTATATATGTAAAAAAAATAAAAATGTAAATGTTTTTCTGTTCAAAGCCGCAAAAAATGTGTCGCTATAAATTGTAACGCCAAAATGGCTTTACCGATTTTAACAAAACTTGGCTAAAGTCTTCTCCTTGAAACCCTTTTAATTTATGTGTATAACACACTTCCCAAAAAAAAGCTGAAAAATGTTACGATGAATTCAGTATTTTATTTGATGATAACTAAAAAAGTACACAATTTTTGACTGATAATACCCACATTTATTTGAAAGATTTCTGAATCGCAGACAAAATAATAAAAAAATCATCAAAATCGGACGGTTCGTTGGAGAGTTATTGAGTTTTAAACATTTACTGCTTTCTCTTCAGAAAAGGCCGTTTCCTTTTGCTTCCTCACTACCGAAGGTCGGCAGGATTTTTTTTTTGATTAATTGAAAATTTTATAAATACTACAGTAATTGAAATTATCATTTGAAGAAGTTATATGATTCTCCTTATGTAGGTCAATACTATTATACGTTTTTTATTATTAATTTTTAATTTAGTTTTATAAGTTCAACTCAGACTGTTTCTGACGATTATGAATGACGGCATATTCACTCAGATGATTATGAATGTTCAATTTGAATAATGAGAAAAAAAAACATTAGAATTAGTTGAAATTGAAGCCATTTTACAGACAAATTTGTTTCGCAACTTTTTAATAATGACAGATGTCCTTTGCTACTAATCTACTCATATGTGCTTTCTATTTTCTTTCTTTTTCATTTTGCCAGGCTAAGCCACAGCAGCGTGTGGCCGGGTAAAGCTAGTGTACTATAAAAATAAATATAAACAGTTTTCAAGAGTGTCTCTCTTATTTTAACTCTTAAACTTATTTTTCAATCAGTGCAGGAGCTCTATTTTATTAGTCAAGAGGGTACTAACCACTGAACAGACCACTGAAATTCCAAGATGGCTAAGCATGTTGAGGTGAATACCGGAGTGACCAGTTTGAAGCAATGTAGGTTTGATTCCTACCTAGATCAGTCCATAAATATTTATTTAATGATAGTCTGACAAAATGAACCTTGAAATTACCTCTCTGGTTAGTACGTGGCAAACTTCATATTGCCATCAAGGGCAGACAAAAAGGACCATAAGATCCACTTGCCAAACTATTTTTTTCACTATTACCAATTGGTTTAATGTAGATGTAGTCTGAGGACTCGTTCTCAAACATTGGGAATGTTAATTTAATGTAAAAAATATATCATGGACTCCAAGGGTCCACAGTTTAAGAAAATTTGATTTGAAAGTTGATCAAAAAGAATTGTACAAAATAAGAAAACCATTTGAGTAGCTTTGAACCAAGGAGAAAATTTCTACTTTATGTTCGATTTTATGTTAATTATTCTTAAAACAATTCTAAATAGAACAGATAGTTCCACCCATGCGACAGTTCTGTGTATATGTACATTTACATTTACTCATATACCTTATACCATATAGTATATGAGTAGCACTGAATCAAAATAAATAACCTTGTTATCCAAAAGTGCAGATTGTTTGATTTGAAGAGTAACCTAAGTTCTTATTACCAATTATATATTTTAATTTAACAACTAATTAAAAAAAAAAGATTTAAAGAAACGAGAAGGTGCCAAAGAGGTTCAGAATTGTTTACAGAAAAACTTTAATAATAATAATTAAATTTTTACAAACTTATAAAAATCCACATGTTGCCGATTTTGTCTGATCCAGATACCTATCATTTCATAATAAATTCTTAGTCCATTTGATCCATTAGTTTCTAACCTCGCTTCTTCTACAATTCCTGATAATCCTCCTGCTAAGATGACCAGATTTAACATTGGTAAAGCATGACACAATTGCTTGTGGGGGGGAGAGGGAGAAGAGGGGAGGTTTTGATTAAAAAGTTGTATTTTTCAGAGCACATAATTTGATTATGTATTTGACATCTAATTTGTGACTTCAATAATAACACAGGTTTTAAGACTTCAATGTTTTGTGCCAGCAGTTTGTACACAATCAAGCAACTCTTTTTTAAAATGCTACAAAGCTTTTGAAGGTGAAAACATTTCGGTAATGGAAGCAGTAATTGAAGTTAATTAGCTGATCCTTAAGATTTCACTTTTTCCTTATCAATATATTTTTGTAATAACGATATCTCATTAAAAAGATATTTTTGGGTTGCTTATTATCATTAAGTTCATACAATGATGATAGAACTCTACTGTTTGCTGAACTTTGTTAAGCAGTTCCCGATAATCAGTTTTTAACAATTATTAGTTATTATTAAAGTTTAACATTATAAAATCATATAAAATAATATGAAACTTATATTCTGGCAAAATAGTTACATGGTCGCCAAAAACCGTATATTCTCTTCCCGTTCTCCTGCCGTGACCCAGCTTACATGCATTCTTTCCGAAAATTGAGATTTTTCAAAACATCGGACCTATTGATAAAAAACAGTACTGTCCCATCAAAAGCTGGACGTCAGGTCTCCTTATCATAGGCAGATGCCTTGTTAGATAAAATCTTGTTAGATAACAAGAAGAAGGCTTTGGAACCTTCTAATAGAACTATAACTATAGAACTATCATTGGAGAGGTAGTAGTTTCTCGACCAGTTTTTGTCATTATCCCATAGTTCACACATAATTTTTTTTTTTTAAGTTTTAATTCAGTCTTTCATTTTAGTAAATATAAAACTTATAAAATGTCAACTTTCTGCCTGAAATCCACCACATTACTATGCATAGTGAAGAAATTGAAATATCATAGAATATTTATCTCAAAACATTCATAAAGTATTTGTAACCTTGTTAAAGATCATATATACCTGTTGATTTGTTCCCCTGAAGCCATAACCTCAACATAGCTAGGCCTTGGTGTTCAACACTACTTTCACAGAGTTCACTTTTGATGTTGTTTACTTCTGAAGGACTGACATCTAATTCAGAAGCAAGTTTTACCCAATCTTCACCGAGGAGATTGCTGATATCAGACAACCTCTGAAGGCCACCTAATAACAAAATGGATTAAAATAGAACAGAAACAAAACGTTGCTGCATCGACAGTAAACATTGGCATAAATTAAACACTAAGTAAAAAAAAACTATATTTGTGAGCGCTCCCTATGTTTTATATAATAACATAGATATATTTTAAGTGATAAATTTATAAAAATATATAGGAAATTCCAATTGAAAGAGTAATAACAATATTTTTTTATAACATTACAAATATGTATTAATATTTCTATATTAAATCACTACTGAAACTACATCTATTAAACATTTTGGCACCTTCCATTGCAATAGTTCATGCCTTCAAAGTTGAAAACCAGTCTTAAATAAACTTATTACCACTGAAATTATGAGAAATCTGTCAATATCACATTAATCAAATGAGCTTGGTTAATATAATTTTTTTAAAATATTTTTTATTAATATAATAATTATTAGTAAAAATGTATGCAATTTTTTCAAAAATATTAATTTAAAAAGAATTAAGTGATAAGACATCATATATATATATATATATATATATATATATATATATATATATATATATATATATATATATATATATATATATATATAGATAGATACGTACATAATCTTTTGGATAATTTAATTTTTTTCTAGTAATGATAAACAAATTAATTACTCACTTGTATGGGTAATGTAAGAGTGTTTATGCGTTTCAGTTTCAGGAAGATCTGGTTCTGGTATAATATCTTCTGGGAGTACGATATTTAATATACAAATAGGTTGCTGAGGCACATCACCTTTAGCTACCTAAATTTTGTCAAATAAAATAAAATAATATTTCAGTAAACTATAAATATTTTTAAAGTATAAAATTAAAATATTAAAATATACTCAATAAATTTGTACATGTACATAGAAGTTGAAACAGTTTGCTAAATATTAATTTCATGAATCAAATGTTAATTTTTAATAGAAAAATCTAACAAATATTACCATCAGATTTTTCAACATTATATTTTTCTTTATAATTATAGGAAATTCAAATTCATTCAAAGTTTAATCTATTAAAGTTATCATTCATAGTTTTTTTTAAACTTAAGTGAAATGAAAATTCACAAAAATAAGAATAATATAAGATGCCATACTTCTCAGGAGGAATTTCCATAGAAATACTTTTAAGATTTAAGGATAAAAATCCTTTCTTAAAAGCTTGAATAGGTATAACAAGTGAATTCTGTATAACGCAACTTAAGATGGGATCAGAGAGGTTTTCATAAGAGTAATATTTACCGTGAGCTACTACCAAAAAACTCTTAACAACTAAACCAAATGAATACAACTATCATGGAATTATTTTCTTCCAAAATTACACATTAATTATTCCCAAAGGAAAGTTTTTAATGAAACAACAAGATAAAGATAAACAGTATATCAAAGAAACTCTTTTGGGAAGCTGAAATATGATATTTATAAAAATAAGAAAAACGTAATTAAAATAAATATGCAGTATATAATAGATTATTGTTAAGAAAAAAAAATCAACTTTTAATCTTAGCTTATAAACTTCTTATAAAGGAACAACTAGAATTGATAAATGATATGAGTGCAAATTAGAAATAGATTTGTTACAAAATGGCATGTAAAATGACTGAAATTTAATCAATAAATGAGAGTTAAGAATTACTAATATCTTAATATTTAAATTTATAACAAAATGGTGTCCTCACCTTAGGTTCTCGCATGAATATTATCCTCCCTAACGCATCTGCGTGGGGGTCTTTCACTCTAACAGTGAATGGTAACCTGTTTTCTTTAAAGGCCCTGAATCCAAGCTTGGGTTGATCTCCTGATTTAGTAACAGGAATCAAATTTCCAGCAAACTCCAGATACTGCATTTTACCTTCCAGAACCTAATTAATAAATTAAATAAGATTAATATTACTATAGAAACGGTAATTTCAAGAGTTATCCCTAACTCAGAGGAAAATAAATATAATAATTCTTTTTAAAATAGATAACAAGAAACTTATTATTTTATGTTAAAGATCTAGCATTGATTCTATGGGATTTCAGGATAGGAAACCTTTTGATTTAATTCACTTACCTCAACATCCCTACTTTTGGCAACCTCGGTGAATTGTTCCTGATGTTCCAAAGTTTTATCTTCTTTGTCATCTGTCATACAGAAAACTCTCAGTCTTGCTTCGGTGGTGTCTACTCTTTTTGAAAAAACAACAAACCTAAAAAACAAAATAAAAAATTGCATTCCTCAGATTTGTGTACATAAACAAAATAAAAAGTCTTTGACCTGACAATTATTATCCTCTAAACATAATATAATGAGCATAATAACTAGATGATTGAATTAATTCAATTTATAAGCATTAAATACAGAATTTAAAATTGAGAAGTTTAAGGGATAAGAAATATTTAAAGAAATCAATAGGAAATTTTGTGTTAGATATGATCAGGGCTGGAGAATGGATTAATTAAATAAAAAAAGTAACTCTTAATTCAAATAAATAATAAATAAAGCTAATTTATTTGTTATTTATGAACAACGAATAATAAATATATTCATTATTCTTTATTTTCAAAATAGTTTCTAGTATGATTTACTGTGTTAATTTATTATTGTCAAATAAATATTTATTTCCAAGTTTAGACAAAGTGAATACATGGTTATTAATAATAAATGCATAATTTTAAAAAATACCAATTTCAAACTACTTGTTAATGACAAATAAGATTAAATGAAATATTAGAATTATATCATTAAATTAATAATTACTTTGAATAACTAATAATGATAATAGTAAACAATAAACTAATTGTTATTGAACAAATTTTTATTTAAATAATGTTTCTCAAATACATACACATATAAAATTTTTCAAATTAATATTTTACAAAAAATGGAAGGTTATATAACATTCATAAAAGGTATAATTAGAATGAAAATTTTCATTCATCAATTTATTTTTATTATTATTTTTAAAATTTATTCACAACTTTAATTTAACGCTTTATAATATTCTCCAGGTGGTGATCTGGACATATGTTATGTATCCGAGTCAAATATAATATTGAATATAATATATAATCAAGATAAAGTCTAAAGACTTCTGTGACAGTAAAAATAGTCGTTAAGCACTCACTTCTTGACAATAAAAAAAATATGAAGAATATGGGATTTCATGGAATCGAGAAATTAGTGTAACAACATTACATAAAACTACATTAAATAATACTAAAATATTATCAGTCACACTGCAAAAGCTTGTAAGCTATGGTTTTGAGCTTTTCTAGTCAATTTCAGCCTAGAAATAAAACCAAAAAAAGTTACTTGGATCCAATCTTTTCTAACCAGTGTGAGGTCGAAATTCATTTTGGAAGACTGCCACAAAATAAATTTCAATCTGCACAAACCAGATAAGTAATAGGTGTCATAAGAATTGAGTTTGGAAAGGTGATGGTTGTTAGGAAGTCAGTCAAAAGTGAATTTTATTTAATAAATATTATATGATTTCATATTGTTGAAATATCCATATGTGAATAATTATTATTGTTGTAAAAAGCTTAAAAGTCTCAAATTCTAAAATCTCTTTGTAAAGTTTGTGTTGAAATAAAAGTGAGTTTATTTCGAATATAGAGTACTCAAATTTATTTTATTTGAACCTAGAGATCAAATATAACAGGTGGTTATATATTGCCCCTAACCTGAACAATGGTCTTGACAATTTTGACCACCCCGGCCAAATTTCACAAGATAAAGTGTAATAGCCCATAACTATTACTACATACTAACTGGTACTTACTTTGCCATGAATGGAACATGGATTGCTTCCCTGTAAAGCTCTGTAGCCATTTTTGTTGCTTCACTAACATTTCTGCAATCCATAAGCCAAAACCTTGCAGAAACTGTGGTAGTAAATGAAACACAGTCATTTACAAAGGTAAGAGGTGTTGAACCAGTTACATCTTCCCATTGTGCCCGTGTTGTTCCTCCTAAGAACAATTAAATTATTTCATTAACTAACAATCATACATGGAATAACTATAAAAACATGAATTCATAAAGAATCATTCATTAATGAACATGAAACTATGTAATATAAACTCTTTGTCAAATTTTTATGAATGGAATTCATATATGAATTAATGCATATTAAAAAAATAGATTTAATATAATAGTCTCAAAATAGACCATCTTCTTTTTATAAATTTATTTGTATTGGTGTCTGTACAAACTTAATTAAAACCATTTTATAACTACAGATTTTGATAATTTTAAAATGGAGCATCTTTTAATGATACAAATATGTGATTAACATCCTAGAGAATAATAATTTTCTTAATGTCATAGAAATTAGTGACGGTCCTAATCTAAGGGCTAATGTACTATGATAATAATTCTAATAGACAGCCACTTCATATCCTTCATAATATACCAAACTCACACTGATTAAGGAGTGAAGAGAAATTTACTATAATGATAATAATACCAGAAAGACCTCCTGAAGATTAAAAGAGCCAGAGATAGGATACTAATATCCAGAGAAATCAATTACAAAGAAATGAAAATAGCGGCAAACTCATAGCATAATATGTAGCAAACACAGCATAATAGATCACTTCTATAAATCAATTCTTCTAAGAAGACGAAGATGAAAACTAAATTAAAATAAATTATAAAGCTTGCTTGTGCTTGAATCATAAGACAATCCCTATTTGCTATTATTATACATCCAGAAAAGACCTCTTATTTGCCATTTCATTTCACTGTCAAACTTAGTAACTTGTATTCCAGAACATGAGTTTTCAAACTGAGTACCACAAGCATGTGCCTAGGGTGTCTCAGAAATAGTATTAAAATTTAATATTTATGTAGCATTCAATAGAATTTACAAAAATATTATAAAAGTACACAAATTTATATTTTTTTTATGACAGAATTAATAATAAAATCAACTGAATTCATGATGATATCAGGAGAAAATTTTATTGGGTTTACATATATTACAACAAAAATGGGCAAAGATTCTATTATATCACTGCTTTAAGGACAACTGTGTTACAATTTTTTTTTTAATCTAACAAGAATATTTTTTAATGCAAAAAGAATACCATGAAAATTTGTTAGTCCTGGGGTGTCATCGTCTAAAGAAATTAAAAACCGCTTTTTTAAGAAATGGAGAGATGAAATATAAGTTCAGAAATATTGATTTTTACTCAATAAAATAATTTTCTGCTTCTGCGTTTCATGGTAATTTGTCTAAAGCTGAACTATATTTTTTTAACTATTTTTTTTTAATAATCTGATGCTGTGTACAAATCTTACAACTTTCAATTATCACCAGTGGCGGATCCAGGAATGTTCTGAGTCGGAGGGCACACTTGCAAAACTGGTTAATTCCTTATTCCAAAGATATAATTTATATATATATATATATATATATATATATATATATATATATATATATATATATATAATATAAATATAATTATATATATATATATAAATGGCGGTCAAAATTCCATAACTTAATTGACCTAATTGACCTTGATAATTGACCTTTAAGAACCTAAAACACGACATTTTTGCATACTTTTCCACAAATTCAATTTGAAATAGTTTCCAAATGATGAGAGCACTCTAGCAACTAATATCAGCTAAAATATTCAGCTATTTTGCCAATAAATGAAGAATTTTTAGCGTAAATATACAAACAATTTGAATTAAATTGTGTTGTTTTTGAGTACAAAGTATAAATAAAAACTATTAAATTCACATAAAAATAATACAATTCAAATTCAATTAAATAATATTAATAAAAATGCTGGTTTTTTCAAGATAAAATATTTACTCAACTTCCAGAAGAGGGAGGGAGTGCAGGGGGGGGGGGGTAGGTGCCCATACCCTGGATCCGCTAGTACTTAGAGTAGAAATTAATTTTAAATACATTAATAAACTTAAAAAATATTTTTTTAACTATAAATTTATTTCTGGAAATTATTTTTCAACCTCGGAAAATATTTGCCCCTTGGTTAATTTTCTAATTCTTCCATAGTTTGTATTTATCTATCACTACTAACAATGAAAGATGATTAATTATTTCCAATAAACAAAATTTAAGGAACTCTTAAGAAAGGAATTTTGAAAATTCAATGTTTGAGGCCTGTCACAATATTTTAATGTGATTATAAGAAACACAGACCACTTTGTAAGACTTGGTTATTTTGACTCAGGAGGCCTTTAAAGGCTTATTTCTGTTAAAAAGTTGTATTCAAAATATTTGACGATGGTAATATTATTGTGGAAAATTACTTTATTATATCTTATATATTTATTGTATAAATGTGATATGAATTTTATTATTGTAAATATTAGTAATTTGTAAAGAAATATAACAATAAAGATGGCAACATAAGTTCAGACCAATATGAGAGCTTGGGCATGCTTTAGCTTGGATCTGTTCACCAGTAACATCCATCTCGACTGTTTTAATCCCATAGCAATCCCATAGCAAATATTTTCCTTAACTATATATTTCATATAAAGGTAAGTGAAAGTAGTAATTCAAGCTAAAATATTTAAGAGAATAAATTCTTGAATGCCTCATTATTAAAAAAAAACATAGCCGATTAGGGATGATGATTTAACCGAGAAATAAAACAACATAGGCTTTTTAGTGATAAAAACACACAAGCACACACATATATATATATATATATATATTTATATATGAAAGAATTGAAACAAGGCATAGGCATAGGCAGCACAGCATAGAACAAAAAGGGAGTTTAAATGTAATAAGAAAAATTTGAACATTTGAAGTTAAATATATATATTGATATATTGTACGGTAGAAAAATTATAGAATTAATTTAATATTATTCTAGCTTCTCTGAGAGGCCAGTTAAAAGGGCCTCCATTGAATATACTATTTGTATAAATTAATTAAGTCAAAATTTGTTCAAAAGTATGTAAACAAATTCCTGTATCAACATTAATGCATATTAATGTATTTATTAACAAATTATAACTTTATTATTTACTTATCATTAAATATGTTTAAATTCTATAGAATTACTTTTAACTGATGAATTTCAAGATTGTTTTATTTAATCTATGAAAGCAGACACCAAATGGCATAAATCAATAAAAATAAGGCAATAAAGCTAATAATTTAAGTTAAGCTAAACATAAATTATATATTTACCCATAGTTTCATTATTATACCATTAACTTAATATTACAACTATTGATTTAATCTATCTATTTTATTATATCAATAAATGTATATTTAGATTGGATTATGATAGTAAAGATCTTAAATATAACAAGGCTGTAAAAAAAAGTAACATTAAAAATGAATAATTTGTAAGCAAAATGCAATATGAATAAGAATCAAACAGCATTCCAATACTCTTCGTTTCATCATTCAATTTAACAAGCAGGTATTTTCTTACCTTTGAGAAACCATAGAAAACACTAAGATATCCCATTCCAATGATTAAAAGAAAAATATTTACAGTAAGCATTACAGGTAATATTACTATTCCTTTACATTACATTACAAACAGTTGATATTCATGTGCATTCAGGAATAAGAAGCGTAATATTCACAAACTATTTATGCATAAAGTTAGATGGCAAAACATAATAAAAAAAGATCACCTACTGTGAAAGAAGAAACTAAAAAGAAGCAGTTAAGAGGGATATGTAGCAAATAATAAGCGGCTATATGTTTCAGAAAAGATTCTCGCTGTGCATTCCTACTTTTAGATAATTAAAATTTTTCTGCTAATAAACTTAAATCATTAATGGGGGTACATATGTGTAATTTTAAAGCCCCAGTAATAAATATCCCCTTTGATACACACACATTTTCTTCTGCTTAGTAGAAAATATTTTCATTTTTCATTAATTTTTCTTCTTGTTTTGCGTCATAATTTTTCAAATGCACATACTGAAATATTTTTGTACCTATAATGGTGTACAAACATATTTAAGTAATTAAATAGCTAAAATTGAAGTGTATAATATATTAATATAAACAAATATTGTTAAAAGAGCTATATGAAGGTGATTGTGCATATTAAAAACTCAACCAAGTGATTGTATGCTCTAATTGTTTGTGAAGAAAAAGATCATTGCCTCGAAAAGAAAGGAATTTTTGATAAATTTAAAGGATTTAATATACAAGACAATATGCCAAATTATAATAATGCAGCAGTCTAATTTATAATAAAAAAAATAAAAAATATAATAAAAAAATAATTAAAACAAAATAAATTCCTTTAAAACCAAAAAAAAAAAAGTTGCAATGTACCGTCAAAAGTCCCATCGGTCAAAACACAAGGACTGAAATTGGTATTTAAAAGGAAAAGAATCAATGAAAATATATATAGAATTAAATAATAGGAAAAATATGTAATATTACAGTATAAAAGAAAGGGGTTTCCCAAGATAGTATTTACCTCTGAGAGATCTTTTCCGAAACACGCCTGCAAGTGAGCAACAGTGCAGCAATAATCAAAAGTGGTCAAGTCAGAGACATTTTAGACATTTTCTTTTTCTATTGGAACTTAAACAAAACTTCCGGGGGCTGAGAAATTTTAATTTTAACTTTACTTTTTTGAAAACTTTCTCTAGGCAAATATACATAGTACAAGAAATAAATAAAACAAAGGTACGAGTAAAAATTCCTTTTAAATAATAAATAAATTAACGGTTGTAATGGTTAGTGTTGTTTTTTGTTTTTTTTTTTCTTTGTGCTGGTTACGTTAATGTTGTGCGTTTATAATGGAAACTTAAATCTACTTTCATTTTTTAAAATATATATTAAAAATTATAAGTACTATTCAATATAAAAATAATTTCATTTTCATTCAGAATTACATCAAAAGTTTTCATTTTTATTTTTTTGTAACTATAAATATTGTTTTAAGGCTTTTAATGTAGTTTTTAGAGAATTGGAAAATTTAAAGATTCATTTTAAATA